CACGTGCTAGAAGACACAAGGACCACCCAATAAGGAAAGCAATGGACTTCGAAGCGCAAGGCAAGCGACCGCGAGGTGCCCCAAAGAAGAGGTGGAAGGACGTAATCAAGAAGGACCTAAGTGAAATCACGGCCACAGCAGAAGATGCCCTAGACAGAGCGAAGTGGCGACGACTGATAAAGACAGCGGACCCTGCGACTGCGCGGGACTAACGCTAGGGAGAAGAAAGAAAGAAGAAGTCGGTCTGTTCGCACCAGGCTGTGGGGAGGAAGGTGCACGAATGCAAATGCGACGCTACCGCGCTCAATTCGGCCACTTCTGCAGTGGACTCTCGAGCTCTAAATGCATCAGGCACTTGTTTGCAATTCGTAATTTTTACGAGTATTTACATTTTGGTATAGCTTGTGTATCGATCTAGAAAAGCCGCGACGTCGTTTTGATTCTTGAAGCCAAGTCATGGAAGCTTTAAATCTTCCATGCGCAAAGCGCCATTGAAACTATAGGGCAATTCTGTTCAGCAACAATGAAGGCAATGCATTTTGCAATTTTGTGATTATCGGTAAGCTACTGGAGCTCGTGTTCTGCTAAGTATGTTTGAATTTAAGTCAAGTACCTTGCGATTTCTTATAGACTGCATCTATTTTCCGCAATGTTGATCTTTTCCTTCCGTCGATAACCGTTTCCGAACAAAGTAAGGTGCTCGGGTTGGGAGGGGGTAGGGGGGGTGGGGGGCGTATCGAGACTTTCCAATAGGGGGACGGTCGTAACATTTTTGAAATCGGTCGGTCCAACGTGAACGGTTGAACCTGTGGTTGGGATCATCTTCCAACGCAATTCCACCAATGATTCTCAATGCCATCACCAAAATGGCCGGATCTCCAGTCATCTGATCACTAACTTGGAATTATTGAGTTACGTGAAACCTTGTTCAACGTGCGATTGAATAGATTTCGAGGTGGAAGTAAATTCTTTTGTTTTAGGCCGAAAACGTGCAGGAAAAAACAGTGATCATACTGTCAGATGTTGGATCTACTTTCTGCACCAAAACCCAAAATGCAAACGAAAACGAATTCACGATTGCCGAAGAGGTAATGTGCAAAAAATGAACCAAGTAAACATCGTCTTCCCTACCCCATACCAACTAGCACAAGCTATTTTCCCCGTTGTAGCTTAAGCTCCTAATTTTTCTAAGAAAAAAATTGCAGTGGCGCAGAAATAAAGTGCGAATCGTTTATGTAGCTGTAGAAACAAAGTACGGACAGAATATGGGAGGCGTTCCGGGCGGTGCACATGGAAGTTATCCCTGTGTCGGACTTTGGAGTAAGTCATCTTATCCGAGCACTTGCTACCCAAGTTTCACCAAAATGTTTAGGCAATGGACAAAAGTGTTGTGAAGGAAGTTCCAGCAAAGTTATGCGCGCCTGTGGAAGACTATAAACCATCAGTTTCGTGTCAATCTGTGAGCTAAACAATTTACAGCTTCAAGTTACAATTTCGGTCTTATATTGTCACGATTAGTCCACCGACAGGGTTGATGTAGATAGAATTTAAAAGCAGCGATCACGATAGCTAAAGTGCGGTTTTGGTGACGTCATTGGTGAGAAGGCGTTACCAGGCGGTTCCAACCGCAGAGGGGTGGAGTCTACGTTTAATGACGTCATCAAAACCGCACCGCTCTCCGGCCATCGTGATCACAGCTTCACCCACTCAGGTAGATAGTATAGGTTAGGAGAATAGCCCCTCCAGGCTCCTAAAACTGGGCCTCTTCATGAGAATGAGTACAGAAGTACGACTTCACTCGATAGGGCCTTGACATACATACAGAACACAAAATCAGAAAATTTTTGCTCTAATGTCTAGTCGTTTTAAAGGGCCTCGATATCTCGAAAGTGACAAAGTCTCTCGTTTTCATACTGGACGCTTCTGAATCAATAAATGAAGAACAGTGGAACAAGGTATGTGTTTCATTTACAAATCAGGAAAGTGTCAGACTCTGCGATCAATCGATAGCGAATCCGTGGTTCATCAGGGATTAGTCGTAAATTGTGAACAAGTGCTTTAATATTTTTGTTGCCACTGACCCATTACGGATGTTCTACACAATTCAAAGACATCAATAATGCTCGCAGTAAATGAAACGCAGTTTGGGAGGGAGACGTTTAGTTCCCAACCCCTCCCCCTCCTCCAACCACCACCCTCTCCCCCTCTCCCTAGAAGCTCAAGCTTAGGCTTGCTAAGAGTAAATGAGAGGTGTCCTAATCAGAAGCCACCTTAACTGAGGAGAAATGACGCGTGACACATCCATTTCAGAGTTCATGATCAAAGGCATGATCGCGATAGGCATACTTACCTGTCCCATCCCCGATCGTAGCAGCTAGGCGGACATGCGTTGAAATCGCGTGACGTGACGCTACGAGAAAAGCGCGAGCGCTAATGCGGCAACGGTTGAATTGTGGTTCAATGTCATTGGTACTGGAGCAACAGCAGTCAGGTCCGCAAAAATTCTCAACACGCCCCTTCTTCATCCAAAAGCGTACTGCGGAGGGAATAGAGGAGTTCCTTATTCGGGGCGCGATCGGAGGTTTCTTTTACTTTCTTTTCCAGACCACTCCACACTTCCAGCTTCATTGCTAACGCTTTAACACCCCATTTTATTCCGAGGCTGCCTCTGATTAGTGATATTTCAGCCAGAACAAACCCTAAACGACTTCTGCAGAAGCTTTTCAGCAATTTCAATAGAAAGTCACTTTCAGCAAATGCGACTTGTTGCAAACCTGAGAAAATATGTGGAAGAAGCAGAAAAAGTGGGAGTTGTAGTTATTGCTTGCCCATCAGACATTCTACTTCCGATGGGAACATACACAATAGAAGAAATTGGGTAATTCTTTAAATTCTACCATCCTGCTGTTGAGGTATTAAAACACATCCACTCATACAACTGGAGATAAGTAAAAACGGAGACGGCTAAACAGATGTAAAACCCTATGACACAATTACAAAGTTTCAATTTTCACGAGGCTCGAGGAATCCTCTCGAGAAAATCCGTTCATTCTTTCCCAACAAGCATGGAAAAAAGTGCGCCTTGGGGCGGCCATGTATTAGACTATGCATTAAAATGATTTGATGAAGCTTCCGATTTTGAAGACTTGAGAGGAAAACGGTCGATAGAGTAGCATGCAGTAGTAACAAGTCAAAGGACAAAATGAGTTCAGTGACGGCACTCTGAGAACCAAGTGGTAGCATTCTCGCCGCCAGCATTTGTGACAGATGCACGGCGGGAATTTGAACGAGTAACAGAAATCCTGGGTTTTCAAATTGTTTACCTAAACACGCAATTTTTTTGTTCGTTCGTTCTTATTGTTGACGATGAATTCAAAACCAGTGATTTATGGGTGAGATGATTCATGACTTTCCCGGGGAGGAACCCTCAACTACGCTTCTGTCTCCGGAAACTCTCGAGCTGATACGCCAACGTGGAGCCGCACGAGCTGCAGGCAATCACCAACTCACGTCCGAGCTTGCGAAGCTATGCAGAGAGGCGATAAAGGAAGATCTCAAGGAGCGAAGAGCAGCAGTATTAGCTGAAGCAGCAGAGGCTGGGAGGAGCATCCGCAATGCCCGCCGAAGCTTTGCCAGCTACAAGACCAAGATGACCTGCCTCCGACGTCCGGATGGAACAGTTACTGCATCCCGAAGGGCAATGGAGAAAGTCATCTACGACTTCTACTCGGATCCCTTCTCGAAAGTGTCTTAAGCCATGTCTATCTGCTACTTGTACCAAGCACAGATGGATACGTCGTCCCCTCAGTACTCTCTTCCGAAGTCCGACACGCCATCAAGTCGGTGAAGAATCGTACAGCACCCGGTCTCGACAGGGTCAAACCGGAACATCTGAAGAATGCGCCGCCAGTCATCATCAAAACTCTGGCTCGACTCTTCACGCGCTACCTGTCGGAATGCAAGGTACCCACTCCGTGGAAAACCAGCAGGACCGTGTTGCTGTACAAGAAGGGAGACCTGGACGACATTGGCAAGTCATCCTCAACAGGATCGGCAGAATACTAGATGAAGGACAGCCATGCGAGCAAGCAGGGTTCCGAAGAGGGTTCAGCACGATCGACCATATCCACACGGTTACGAGACTCATTGAAGTTTCACGAGAGTACAAGATGCCGCTTTGTCTCACGTTCATCGACTTGAAGAAGGCCTTCGACTCTGTGGAGACAGAAGCGGTCATCGAAGCCTTGGGCAACCAGGGCGTCCCTACTCAGTACATCAAGATTCTTCGTGAGCTCTACAGCAACTTTACGACCAGAATCTCACCATTCTACAAGGAGGTCATCATCGACGTCAAGAGAGGGGTCCGACAGGGCGACACCATCTCGCCCAAACTCTTCAGCGCCGCTCTCGAGAACGTCATGCGTCAACTGGAATGGGAAGACATGGGAGTGAAGGTCGACGGCCGGCAACTACACCACCTTCGTTTTGCTGACGACATCGTTCTTATAACGCCGAACATCGAGCAAGCGGAGCGAATGCTGGCTGATTTCGACTGCGCCTGTGGTAAGGTCGGTCTACAGCTGAACCTAACGAAGACGATGTTTATGAGAAACGGATTGGTTCCTGATGCCCCATTCACGCTCAACGGAACGAACATCACCGAATGCTCCAGCTACTGGGAAATCAATATGATGAACGATCTAGCTCCAGAGCTTACCAGGAAAGGTCATTTGGTCAACCCGGCCATTTGAAATGAGATGTATATGTGTATACGCGCCTTGGGACGCTGAGCTCAAATATGTGTTCCTTATCTGCTGAACTCTTCTCTGAAAGGAATTATGAAGCAGAAAAGCGCAGGGGCTGTGGTCGAGGCTCACGAAAAAGAGGTCAGGGGATCAACTCCCTGGCGAGTTTGTTCTTTTGCCGTTTGCAGTAAGATAGCTAGGAAGACTCCTAACATCGCTAGTCCAACATGCTTGCGTATAGTTAACAGTAAAAAGAATTTAAGGGCAATTAATAACGAACTTGGGCGGCATCGCTCCTCACTACTTTGGGCGCTTGTAGCGCAGGCGCCAGGCATTTTTGCTTCGAACAAGTATGATATTCGTAATCAGGGAGTCCAGACTCTCCCTTTGAGCGAACTTCTAGCGAATTCTGAAATTTTGACCTAACCTCGAAAATTTGGGCAGTCACTTACTCACCGATCCACCAATCCATTACAAAAGGCTGGCACTTGGGTAGAATAAACCTTTTAAACACTTTTCATAATAGACAAAAATTGTGTCTGGCTTGCCCGTCTGCATCATCCAAAGATCTGCAAAGCATTATTTCCTAATACAACACCTTCTCTCCCCTTCCCCCGTCGTCCATGATTGGTCAACCCAAAAAAGTGGAGTTTGAGGAGTGGTAATCCCATCACTGCTCCGCTTTTTCTCAATTAGTTCATCGCCTCAGATTTGGCGAAAAACTCGTTTTTAGGGGTAGTTTGATCCCCTGAATACGAATATCATACCTACTTGCCACGGAAAA